AGAATGTTCCAGTTTTTTCTAGAAAGTTCCAGAACCTAGAGGTGAAATTTGGTACACAGGGTGCGTCGTGAAAATGCACACTAAGAAAAGATTTTCCGAAATTCCCTCGCGAGAAGGAAGAGAAAGAGCATTAAGGCTTAACTGGAAAAACGGCTTCTACTGTACTATTTTAAATGCGATTTTTTGTTTTAACCGCGTTTTAGTAGGGTACATTATGAAAACACACACTAAGAAGGGATTTTTCGAAATTTCTCCGCGGGGGAAAAGGGAGAGCATTGAGGCTTAACCTGAAGAATGGCTTCTACTGTACTATTTTAGATGTGATTTTTTTTTTGTATTTACAGTAGAGCGTCGTTTATCTGAAAGTCGGTTATCTGAAAGAATTCCAGTTGGCAAATTTAAATTTTCGCTAGTGCTGTGGTGCTGCAATCTTTGGCTATATCTTGGGCTACTCCAATATTTTTTTTTGTTGATGTGTGTGTTTTAGCTGGCACCACTGGCACTTTTGTGTGGTGTTTTTCTCAGGACTGTGTGTCATACTGAATCGAACGTTTTTGATACTAGATTAACTTCTAAAGTATAATTTTTTTTGTTTTTATATTTTTCAATATATTTATTTTGTTTGTACAAAATAAAGAAATAATTTTTAATGATACAATAGCCACGATTATTATTTAAAAAAGTTTACGTTAGGCTTAACATCGACGAAAATTCAATGCAAAGCGACACACAACAGAGAAAAATTTCAACACGGGATAGGTTAATATATTTTTTCGTACATAATCGGTTATCCGAAAAATAAGTTATCCGAACAACCCCAGTCCCCAATTGATTCAGATAAACGATGCTCTACTGTAATTACGTTTAGTCTTCATTGAGTACTTAGGGGTATAAATTAACAACATTTCAGACATTGTTATAAATATTTTTTATATATTTTGATTTTTTAACCAAATGTTCGAATCATTTTAAATTCGGATTTCTTTTTGCATATTGGTTTGATTATAGAACGATTGTAGACGTTCCAGAAAATTGATCAAATTGAAAATAGTTTGTTTTATTCTCAGCAATTCTCATCATTCTCAGCGGTAGGTGTTAAATAACAATTACTATGGTTGTTGAAATATTGAATGTAAATAGGGTTTGCTTGCAAAATCTGCACAAGCGAAGCCACGGGTAACAGCTAGTAATATATAAAACTAAAGTTAATTATTTTACTGGAATTTAAGATATAAGCAACTCTCTCACTTCTTTCTTGATTTATAAAGCAAAGAATATGGTACAATATTGTGTTCTGAATATCAATTGTCTGGACTCAGTAACTAAATTAACTATGCAAGTATTTGTAATATTTATTCACACTGTTATATATATGCATTTCAAATCACTATATTTTAGTGATTCCGCTTCAGTATAACATCTAAAAAAATTGATACAACACTTTTTAAAAAACTTACAGATACAAATACAATTCAGATTATTGAAATACAATTTGAATTTGGAACAGAATATTGTACTAAATTCTTTGATTTATAAATCAAGAAAGGAGTAAGAGTAAACTAAAGTTGTTTCAGTTATGTTCCAGAGTTTTAGTTTACTATAACTATGCTATATAAAAATATGTTATATACCATTACTAAAAAGTGTGTTATTTCTAAGAATATGTTCCAATTTATTCTAGTATAACAGAATGCTTTATGTAAGAATATTTAAAATAATTTATGTGAATAATTTTATGACAATATACATGATTTATAAAAATAAACAAATCTTTTCTTTCACAAATAAATACATTTCTGCACATTTTTTTTGTAGAAAAATAACATTATTTTATAGGTTTGGTTTATTAGTATTTAATGGCGCATGGCCCATATGGGCATGCTGCACCACATTAGTATACAGAACATAAGGGTATTCATTAATTTATTCTTGTTCAAATTTGAGGAACAGTTTAAGAGATATATGACCATTCTGTACAAGAATTATAAATCCCTTAAACTTTTTATAATTTAATAAAGTGTAAAATTGCATTACTTCTGATGTTAATTTATTTAAAGATGAAATAAATCATCACAAAATGTGTTAAGTACTTTTTTAATAGTTAACAAAATTATTTTTTAAAAATAAAGCACAAATCAATATTAAATGAAATTACCTATTCTTTATATATTGTATATATAATCATAACTCATAGAAATAAAGCTATTTAAATTTTATATGTATGTCGCATCAATTATTTCTGCTCTGATTTTATTATTAATTAAACAGCAAGTTGCATAATTTATTATAAGCATAAATAAAAAACTTAAATACAAAAAATTTAAAACTCCCACCAACTAAATATAAATGATCGTATCAGATATACTGTTTCCATTATTTTAAATTACTAAAATTATCAACTGTTATACTAGGTTAATTCAGAAAACTTTTAGCTGGTTTCAAAGGTCATTGGCTCAACTCTATAATCCAGCAATTGTTTTTCTGTTTTTTGACATTTGAAAATTAATTTACTGCCATCTATATTTTAATAGTGAATTATCCCTACAACCAGCTCATGATCTAATTATATTTTACACTGAGCTTAAATTTTATAACTATTAGAAATTCTAATATTATACTTTTTATAAATAAATAACTTTTTCAATTCTGCTCTCAGAGATTGGTAGAGAATTACCAGAACAAATTCACAACAATTTTCAGTATGTAAATTACTCCAAGATGATTAAACAATGAAATTACTAGAATATAGTATTTTCAATTAAAATCATCAACAACTTATACCACAGGATATAATTATTATTTTAGATTTTATTCAATATCTTAATTATCTTTTCATATATATGGAACACAAAGTTAATCAATGGTGGTTCCTCTTTTTAGGAAGGACTTTGTCTTCAAAAAATTAATCATAATTATCGCCATCGGATGAAGATTTACAAAAATTATCTTTTTGTTTAATTTTCTCAGAGCACTAAGATTTACATTATATATATAAAGTTATATTTTTATCAAAGCTTTTTTATTCATTAATTGCCTATTGATTTAATGTCATCACTGATCATTATAAAAAAAAAAAAATCAATAAAAAATAAAGTAGAGAAAATCAAAATAAAATTATCAGATACATTTATATATTTTATAATTTTAAACACTTAGTGAGCTTAGTCACAAAAATCAATAGAAAAATAATACAAGTTGGAATATAACATTGATACTGATTTCATGTAAGCATGTATAACAATATTACTGTCTTTTAAGCGTTTTTATATAACAATATAACCTTAAATGGTCAAAGCAATTGCTTTTAACTATTTTAAAAATATATAAATATTTTATACATAATAGAATGTTTGTTTTGATACTTATTACCATCATCTTTTGCAACATCTTTGCAGTATTACTTCCTTTTACATTAGAATAACTATTTTTGCATTATTTCAAAAAATGTACATATTTGATATATGGTACAGATTGCTTTGTTTTTGGCAGAGGAATATATTTTAAAAGATATAAAATTATTGTCTTATAATTTTTTTCTATTACATTCTTTTCTTTAAATAGCAAGTAAACAGTTATTTTTGCATTGTTTTGAAACTGAATTTTATATGATACATATATAGTTTATCAAATAATAAAAAAAAATCAGCTTGTATCTTAAGAAGTCTGTTATAATCTGAATATTTTTGATAATTTGAAATAAGGAGTCTAAATAATTTTACAAAAGCTATAAAGCAACCTTAGGACTAGGATAATAATAGCTTTATTTAACACTTTACTTTTTACCCGAAGTTCTTTAATGTGTAATATAAAAAAAAAATATTAAAATTATTAATATTAAAAAATATTTTAAACATATAGCATTATTATTATCTTCTGACCCCCTTTTATATTATTTTTACACCTAAATGAACAGAAACAATTAGCCTACGTGTACATTATTTTAAGAAATAAAGTCTATACTACATGTAAAATACACTGCCGGCCAAGTAAAATGCAACACCACGACGGACTATAGATATTGCACGGCGTTGCATTTTGCTCAACCAGTAATGTATATACACAACATTTTTTATACAGAAATATGAATATTTTTAATATATTTCAACTATATAACAGTATAATCATCATACCAGCCTTTTTTAAGCTAATTTTTATATTGAAATAAGGAAAGATTTATTATTTTTCCATTACCTTAAAACTTTTATATACTAGAAGTACAATTTTAATTCTAGGAGTACAATTTTATATACATACATATATATATATATGTGTGGGTGTGTGTTTTATTTGACATTTGTAATACAAAAATATGAACATCTAATACATATCAATATTACTATCTTCTGACCTTTCATGTTTCGCTTTACTCTCAAATTAACAAAAATCAATTATTTTTATGTACTATTATAAAAAAAATCTGTGTTCTACACAACACAGACTTCATTTAATGTTTTTGATACAGAAACACAAATACCTTCTAGTATATTTAATACACACAGCATTGTTACTGTCATGTGAGCCATTTTTTATACATTTATTACTTACCCTTAAATGAAAGAAAACGATAATTTTTATATTTTGAAAAAATATGTCCATTTTACACATGATATATGTTTTATTTGATGTTTGTAGTTTAGAAAAAGGAATATTTTAGAAGTCATTGACATGTGAAGGCAGAAAACTCATCAGATGAGATCCATGATTTATTTAAGTGTTCTTTTCATTAGAATTTTTGAATATTTGAGAAGTTTTCTATCAAAATACACGAATTGCCAACAAAATATGAGTTATAAGGTGTTTACTTCTCACACAAACTGCATTAATTTAAGATTAAACGAGAAAGAGTTTAATTAAAGGTAATTTTTTTTTAAGTGATTGAATTTTATTCAAACCACGTTAGGCCTAAAATTCTTCTAATCAATTTTAAAGTTGAATGTAAAGATATTTTGTTTTAAAATTGTAAATTATTGTTTTATTTAACGTTTTCTTTCTTAACTTACCATCCATGCCGAATAAAATCGTCTCATTCTTCGATAAAACGCCTCTTTGTCAACTGTTAAGTTACCCATTTTCAATTCACAAAAAAATAAACGTAGTTAGTCTTAACATGGATCGGATGACGTCACTTTCGCGCGGACCATATTATCTAATGAGAGAACGTATAACAAATAAAGACGATCCCACATGAAACATTCACTCTTATTAGTTACTTTTTCTTCCTCACGTGATTTGTTTCGCGCATTATACGTTTCGCATAAATATACGTTATCCCGTTTTGTAAACGAATCATTTATTGGATAATGTAAACTTTAATTGAACCTAATATATGATAGTTTATGTTAGTGAAAGAGCGCTCGATTGGTCGGTACTTAAACGATATCGTTTCGACATCCAATAGCATTGTTCGTTTCGGGTTATATATAGTTAGATATTAGGTTCGATAGGAGTGTGTGGTGCTAGTGGGTAGGGATGGTTCCGTTACTTCGCAGGAGAAAATCTGTGATTTTAAACGCTTTAAAATCGAAAATTGACGCTTCCTCTTATTAATTTTGAACATATTACGGCTATTTAACACGAATTAAACATGAAATTGATAATGACAAGTGTTTATTTAACTGTTTTACTCTTTACATTATTTGGCCTTCAAAATTGGAAAGCCGAAGCAGAAGGCATAGCAGCAGCTTCTAAAGGAAATAATGTTTTCTCTGATACTTCTGATAATATGTAAGTATACACACCTTTCACCGAATATATAATTAATTAAGTGTAAAAAAATACATAAATATTTATCATTTTTTACATAACACAGCATTTAGCTTATCTCTGGTGCTTGTTGCGCCATGCGAGATACTTATTGCGCCACCTGAAACGTATAGCGAAAACGTGATAATTTACAGTAATTAAAAGGATAGGGATACCAAGATCTATACTCTGGATGGAATTTTGGTGTAGAGTCTGTGAAAATTCAATACTTTTTACTAGAAAACTTCATGATTTTCTAGTAAAATATATCGAATTTTCGAATATTGGCAATGATAGAAAATAACGACGAAGCAAACTGAATTTTTCTGCTTTGTCGTTAATTTCTGTCATTGCCACTATTCATAAGCATTAAAATGTTTTCGCCCGACGAACTCTCGGCATCTATGGTGTCCTGGTTTTGCAAGATGACATCATTATTATGTTATTGAATTTACTGTTTTAAATAAATATTATATCAACATTTATTTAAAAAGTTTATACGGGGGCATTGATTCACTGGGAATGGAAGAGATGTATCCCTTCGATATTTTTGTGCAAGTAAAATGTTTCTCCTCTTGACGTATTTTTACTTTAAACTGTACTACAAAAATTAGAAGTAGAAACAAGTATTATAAGTTTTCTATATACAACAGATATACCTTATTTCTTATATCTATTCAAAATCTGACCATGAGAAATTTTTTTTTTACCCATTGCTACTTAGTCTCCAATACAGATTGTATATACAGATTGATACTGATGATATCAATACTTTTTCTAGCAAGTTTTAATGAAATGAACTAATGTTTTTGGTTATTTTGAATAGCCTTTGGGTTTAATGTAATTTCAAATGTCAATTAGAACAAAAGATTTAAATTCGTTTTATTAAAACTTGCTAGAAAAAGTGAGAAAGGTGTTTTTATTATTACTGATATCATGTATTGTCTCGGTGAGATCTAATTACAATGTTTCTTTATACTTATATATTGCTGTAATTATTAAAAAAACTGTTTTATTAGAGTAAAATCATTAAATATTTAAAAACTAAAATTTATAGGTCGACAATTTTTTCAAATTGCAGCCCAATTAATTTATCCTTTTTGTTATGTATTTTACTTTGCATTTTGATTTATGTACTTTTTATTTTACTTTTCCAGCTGTTACACACACACAACAAAGTATTGGAATCGTGTCAAATTTGACACTCAGTCTTTTCCAAATTTGTTTTGAGTACCTCCTAAAGTAAAAAAAATGTCAAAAAAGTTCTGTTAAAAAAATTAAATGAAATAGATGCCCCATCTATTTCGTTTAATGTATCAGGATGGGGTAAAGATTAAGAAATGAAATTTGGTATGGTAGCTTGTGTGTAAGGGGCATTGATGCTATTAAATTTTGGTGGTGAAAGATTGGGATGGAGCGATAGAGGATGCATCATGTGTCATATTTCGAGTGTGGTTGTATTTAATGAAGATTTTACTTGTTAGCATTTAAACTTATTTATAAAACTCAACACTTACTTTTGAGGGTAGAGATTTGTCATTTTATAATAATTAAAAATATAAAGNCAGTTTAAAATTAAATTTTTTAGATTTAAAATTAGTTTTTGCAGCCTATTTAATTTACATATAATACATAAAAATTTAAGCTTACATGTAAATTTTCAAAATAATTTTCATTATTGTTGAAGAAAGCTTCAATAATAATAAAAATTATTTTATTTAAGAAGGAATCTTCTCAAGAGTATGATATGAATACATTTTGGTACTGATAAAATAACGTTTATGCAAAACTAGTTATTTTCAAACCAATTATAAATTCTTGTCAATATGAATAAATTAAAACAAGTGATATTTTAAAGTTTTATAACAAAATCTCATAATAGCCAGAAAAGTTAGGCAACTCATTACTAGATTTTTTTTATTTTTAATCATCCACTTTTCTACATTTGAAGTGTTTTTATTCCAAAATGTTATATTTGAATTATTGCTTCATTCATTCTTAACTAACTATCAAATCTGTGTTCAATCTGAAGGTCAGTAAAATATAACCAAAAAAATTTGTAAATAAGTTTTTTGCTTCATTGCAGTTTTTTGAGTGTTGCTAAATTAGTTACTGCAGTTTCCAATTTACGAAGTTTCATACAAAAATGTTTTATATCTGTAGTTGTCAGCCAAAAGATGATCAAATTTCCTTAGTTTTTTTTGTTTTGATTTTATGTGTATGATGTACATCAAATAGGAGGATAAAAAGGAGAGATTCAGTTATAGTTTTGTCTTCATTCAATTTCCAGGTACTGAGGTAGATTGGAAGGAAATCAAAATTACAATTACTGATGTAAATTTTCTGTTACTAATCCATTTTTAATTTTCCAATTTATATATTATATTTTAATTGTTTCTTGCAACATCAAAAAGTACATGATACACAAGTTAATAAGGATGTCACATTCACTATCACTTGCTGTCAAACATTCCATTTTAATATTTATTAGAATAAATTATAACATTTAACAGAACACAAACTGCACAAACATTAAGAGAAATGGAACTCTTTTTGTAGTTTAAATGGTCCTGGTTAAGTCTTCATAGGCGCAAAGTAAAAATGACTGTTTGAGTTATTGAGTGTCCAAGATGCAAAAACAGGTTAATTTATGCACATGTTATTAAGCCCTAAATATTTATTCATTTCCTTCTTATAATTATGCATACATTTGTATTTCAGATTTGAAAGCTTTCAGTTAAAAACAGTAGAGTTTCCATCAGACTTGGGATTAAATATTCTATTTAACATTTCTTTAATATTTTGTAGAACATTAGTAATTTTTTTTATAAATAATAACCAGTATTTTCTATAAGATTTAAAAAATATCTGAATTTTAACAAATTGTACTGTTTTTTTTCCTTTCTTTTAGAATAATTGCAATATATTATGTGTTAATATATGTAATTTGTATTGTTTAATGCATAGGTGTAATGTTATTGCATCACAATGAAGTAAATGTATAGCTTAATGAATGTTTTACTTCATTCGAAATTTTAATAGATACTCTAATCATTTTTTTAAGCTGAAAATAATGATAATTTAAAAACAAGCATTAATCATTCACTTTCTATTAAGTACATACAGTATGTTTATTTCATATCTGCCATCCACCTGACGAATAGCCGATCTTAGAACATTGTAAACAAAACTGAGTGGTATTGGAACTTCATATCTCTCAAGCTGGTAATCCACAAGCAGCACAAATTGTGTAATTGTGAATCTTAGATGAAAACATTTGTATTTAATATTAGGTTAATTTAAGATTATTGCTTTGCATTTATATGATCTTGGCAAAAGATCGCCAATTAGACATTATCTAAATTGATAAAGGAAAAGTATGGCAACTGGTCAAAAAAAGACCCTCCAGGATTTTTATATTTTTGGACTCGGGACCATGAAGCATCAAGAAATGCAAAAAATGTTGGGGAATTTTCATGTGTGGGGGCAGGGGGTGCAATTTTATTCACCTACTTTTGAAGCTAAATAACTCCTGTGCCTTTTGTCAAAAACTTCTGAATTATGCAGACATGTTTGTGTATTAAGGGCATTGATGCTATTAAATTTGTGGTCATAACAGATGGCACCATACACAATTTTAACTTTCTTGTTAAGCCCTGGTCAGTTGTTGCAGTTAATCCCTGCCCTGGTTAAGTTGTTGCAGTTGCAATCGCCTGCACGGCGATTGCAACTGCAACAAGCGCGAGTCGCACGCGTCTTCTCGTGGTCACACATTGTTCGTTGACGTTGCAACTCGGAAACACGTGGCCCTATAATAAACGAATAAAATTACAGTAGCTTGTTTTTGACTACTTTCGTGAGTTTGCTGATATTTTACGTTCTACTTCAGAGTATTTATGGAATTTTAGCCAATTTTCTTATTAAAATAGCAAGCAGTTCCTTTTCTGGAATGAATAAAAGAAAAAAGGCGATTATTTTAATAGAGCTGGCGAAAATACATGAAAAGATAAAATCTTTGATAAAACGAAGAATTAAAATCCCACAGGTATTCGTGAGCCTGAATAAGCTCGATCAATCTCGATTCTGTAAAAATATTAATCCTCTGACTATCCACCATGATGATGAACTATTTTCGATGTTGTCATTGTATGACGTGGCATAAAGGCATTTGTTGATTGGATGCGCGTTTGCAATCGTCGCGAGTAGAACAAACTTTTTGTTTCTAGTTGCAATTGCAGTTGCGCCAGTTTTCGAGGGGGGATTACTAGTTAACGGGAACAGCCGTCGCGGTTGCAGTCGCCTGCGCGGCTGGAAATCGCATAGTGTGACCAGGGCTTTAGGAAAGTTGCACAACTTGTTGCTGGATTTTTTCAAAATTTTTATAAGATTATAATTTGTTTATCAAATATATATAATTAAGATTTCAATCCTATAATAGCACTTAATCATAATTAATGGGGCTATTTTTCACTACTATTAATAATTAGATATTAATATCTAATTAATAATTAATGCATCTAATGTCTTTTGGGCATTAAAATAGAAAGAGACAAAGAAACAGGTTTAAGTTCAGATACTGTACTTTTGTTATTTTTAATGCCAATGTCTTTGGGAATACTCTTTCTATCATAATATCTGGAAACAGGTTATATAATACATGATTTGCATATAACAATTTTTTCCTTATTGATAGATTAATATGGTGAGTCTATATTAGATATGATCTTGATTAATAATAGTACAGCAGATAATTTGATGTTGACAAAAAATATTGTAATTGTATTCATATAACTAGCATTAATTAGCATCATTTTCTATAATGTTCATGCAATATATGTTACATAGAGTAATTGTAATATATGTCATGTAGAAGAAAGTGTTTTTGTGTTATGCTAAAATAATTTAGAAAAGTTTATATTTTCTATGTTTTGCCAAACTTTTTATAGTAATCATCAATTTTCCAGTTCTAGAAGCAAAACAAA